ACCTAAGAGCGAAGACCTCCAACTTTGACCGCTTTGCTGTCTTGTGGCTTCATTTCTCTAACCTTCTAGCGATGGCCCCTCAACCTGCCTTCGACGGCCTCCAACCTAAGTGCGAAGACCTCCAACTTTGACCGCTTTGCTGTCTTGTGGTTTCTTGTCTCTAACCTACTAGCGATGGCCTCTCAACCTGCTTTCGATGGCCTCTAACCTAAGAGCTATGGCCTCCAACTTTTGCACCTTGTTTTACTCAGGTTTTTTTTAACCTAGGCTGGCGGGTGGCACCGCTATCCAGTCAGTACGCATATCCATGAGTGTGTGTGTGTGTGTGCATCATAAATCTCACCAAGTTTCCAAGTCGACATCCCACTTGACGACAATCTTTGTCTTGCCCTGAAGCACAAACATCAACTTCCCGCTGAGCTGAGCAGAAGACGTGTAATTAGACAAATAAAGTGTCTGGTTAAAGACGCATAATTTGCATAATTGGGTACATAGCTTAGGACGTTGTCCAGTTGCAAATCATGGTTCACCAATTGCCAGTTTCGTCGTAGAGTGCCGCTTTGACTGAAAGAACAAGGCAAGCAGTGGAATGCTCTAATTCTTACATGCGAAAAGAACACCAGGAGATCCATATCTTTTTAAGGTAAATTTGACGGTGCCAGCCATTCGGCGTTTACAGTAGATGTAAAAAACACCCTCCAGGCACTACAACCTCACATGGTCCTACTCCTGGAGTACCGAGCAATGTCACATCTCGTCCAAGCCCACCAAGTCGCATCATCTTCTGGGCGCTCTGCAACGCCTCGTCTCGCCAACAAAACGGCGCCAACATGGCGTGCCTATGTTACTGGTCTCTAGGCTATTGCTCTTGTGCACCGAAGCGAGTACCGTACGCACTCGTACCGACTGCTGTCGGTGAGACGTGATGACTTCGACCGGCCTCCAATGCCGTGCGTGATCTCCTTCGCCACTTTGAACTGAAATTCCTAAGAACAATTCACTGGAATTCACGGAAGACATGCAAACCTCTAGGTTTTGCAAACCTCTAGGTTCTCCATGTCCGAAGCACTTTGTGCTGAATGAGAATTGTGACGCCCAATTGCCGCTCCACTCTGGAACCCCTCCGGGAAGACTGGCGGGTGCCGTTTCAGTAGGGAATGGCATCTGGACTGTCACCTCCTCAAAACCACCACAGACCCCTGAGGACCCGGTGAGGTCCACCATTTGGCTTCAGCCAGAACAGCAGAGATCTGGGAGTCCACTGTGGGGCCATCGCTAGTAGGTTGGAAGCCATCGCAAGTAGGTTGGAGGCCATTGCTAGTTGGTTGGAGGCCCCGGTAAGCTCCCAGTCATCCTGTCCATCCAAGCTGCATATGCGCCTCCCTGCTGGTCTTGAAGCTTCAGCCTCCCTGCAGTGACCCGCCGGCATCGAAAACAGCCTTGGTGCCGTCGGTGGTGCCGGTGGCGCCACCCCTGCGACGGTCACGAAGGCGTCCGGGTTTAACCCGGAAGTAGCGAACTTCCGGGACGAGTGGGTTGGGCCTCCATGGGCCTCCTGATATCTCCAAAGCTACGAATGCTCCAAACAGCTATGGAGACGGCGAGACTGCCAGCGGCAAAAAAAATGATAAAATTTCCACTGCCAATTTCTCCTTTGATATGTCGAAGGTCACGAGACTTGAGACATGCCATGACACAAATCGACAACGACAAGTTACAGAAATTGTGCAAACGGCCCTACCATTAACATGTCGGCTGGGGATATATTACCGCAGAAAGCACCGCCTACCGTTTATTACAGACAATACAGACAAGCCCCTGCAAAGCATACCTTTCTGCATTTATAAAGGTCCTGCATTGTCCTGCTACACAAATGCTCATTTGCTGAGCAGCTAGTTTGGAGAATTGAAAGCACACAAGGCACTTCCTCCGTGGACCTTTACCCAATCAAGGCAAGTTGCACAAAAGCACTGTGAGGCAACAGCAAAAGGCGAGGACCCCCCTTGGCATACATCATGCATCATCATGCAATGAAGGTTCATGGGGATGAAGCTGAAACAATTGTTTTTGTATCATGAGTCATGGTGTATCATTGTATCATTGTCAAGAAGCTCGGGAGCAGTGTCTTCCTAAGCTATCCCAAGCTGCCAAGTGACAAGACTAGGCCAATCAGCATTGCAGGCTGAAAGCATGATGGGTCATTACCAAAGAGAGTGTCCAGCGTGGTGCATTCAATCTCAACCGCTGGTGCCTTGGGACACGTTTTGCAAGCAATCGTGTGCTGCTAGCATTAATTCATTTGACATCCTCTGTGCAGCTCGACCACTGGAGGAATCAGAAGCGCAAAAAGAGACAGGTGAGTGGATGCACACCATGCACCACTTGTATCTGCCTTAGATTTTAAAAAATAACAGAAAAAGAATCCTGGCAACGGGTGCAGCATCCAAAAAGTATCCAAACAGGCTGAAAAAAACAAACGCTTCCCACACTGGCCTGGGCCGATGTTCCTGGAATCGCTCGATATACACCTTCCTGCAATGCAAAACAACCAGAATCTGTGTGAAGGTGATCTGGACTTGAGATCCCTGGAAACGGATGCTTCACCAGTGCAACAACTACTCAGTCCTGTTGGAACCAAAAAACTAAAAGAACCACCCCAGCGACACTTGTGGCAAAACTGCCCTGAAGAGGTCATACACAACGGTGAGTGCCTGTGACCACATGTTGCTGGCATTGAGGAAGGCGCAGGGACTATCAGCTGAGAAGGTATCCTGGTCCGACAACCTGCGGCGAATGCTGAACATCCATGTCAACCTAAGCGGCTCTCTTTGGGGAAATGGTCGAGACCTCTTGTCAATTTTGGAGGCTGAGCATCCAGTTTGATTTCGATGTTCACCCGGGGCACAGGGTTCTGACCGATCCATTCGCACGCAATTCCATGGAATCCAGAAACTCAACCAATACTGATGCAGCGCACAAATCTCAGCGGCTGGCCTTATGAAAATAGGATTCGCGAGACCATGCACGTCCTCATGAATCATGAATCCACGCCGTGCTCTCATGTTCGAACAGGGGCGAACATGCTCCTCCACATCGCTCCCCCATTCGATGAGAAGAATCCGGAATGATCCGCAGCATCATGCTGTAGCATGGAATCAAAAAGACTGCACAAGAGCACACACCCAAATAGAAAATCACTTTGACGAGACTTGTGATCTGGTGTGCCACTGGTGTGCCACCTTTTTGGATGCCATCCTGGCTTTTGATACCTTCTGCCACACTGACCGTACATGACCGTGCCATCGGTTTTGGTACTGTGACTGTGATGCACTGTAAATAAACAAAACCGACAAACCCATGGGCGGTGATGCAAGGTTAGTGCCAACAACTCTGCATGTGTTTGCTCTGCGCTTCCAACTTCTCTGTGAGATTGCCGGAGAAAACAGACGTTGACATTCTTCCCTAAAGATTCAAAGGTTTGTAGATTGTCCAACAACTGCCTGTGGTGTTCAGCAGCTGCAAACCAAATCTGCAGCAAAGGCACAACTACACTTGCTCCAGTTTGCCTCAAATCCAGTAGTGAGACCTCAAGACCGAGCATGTCGTCTATGTTTCTGACTGTCTCCATGTCGAAACTCCTCCGCTGAAAGAGTTTCTCTCTGAGGGAGGGGCATCCACTACAGCCGTTGAAACTTCCATCGACGTGCCACCAAAATCAACTGTCCTCAGAGTTGAGCTCCGCTGCTCTTGCCCGGGTGGAGGCCATCGCTATTAGGTGGAGGCCATCGCAAGTAGGTTGGAGGCCATCGCAAGTAGGTTGGAGGCCATCGCTATTAGGTGGATGCCATCGCTAGTAGGTTGGAGGCCATTACTACTAGGAACAAGAAGCTACTAGTACCACTGTTCAAGTCTTCTTCAGATTTTGGACCACTCTGTGCACTAGGAATACTGCTGAAGGAAGAAAGACACGTTCTGTTCCTTGGCCTATCACTGGGCAGGCATTGCTGGCTTTGCCTATATATTTCAACATGCCTTTCGATGCCGTTTCAATTCTATGCCACCAGCATTTCATTGAGCCCGCACAATTCTTGCTGTGATGAACTTCCCACAAATGTTGCTTCCCATCTCTTGCGAATGCCTTTGCACTACAACATCCTCTTGTTCCAAAAGGACGGACATGCCCACCCGCGAACGGACGTGTGCTCCAGGTGTCGCGCCCGGCTGTGCTTCCGATGGCAAGCTGGAGCTTTCCCCCGTGAACTCGGTGACCTGAAGGGCAAAGCTCCAGTTTCAGTGCCTTCCTTTTCTCTCGTGAATGTCACTGAACGGCTGAGACGAAGACCAGCAGGCCGGAAGGAGAACCTCGCTGAAGAAGCCTCACTCAAAAAGAAAAACGCGCGTCCACGAACGAGCCAATCCCTGCGTGAACGCAGCTTTAAAGGCTTTAACCAAGCTTGAAGGTAACGCTGTTCTTCTATGTGTTCAGTACGCAAAACAAAATGCGTTTCTTGTATAACAATGCAATCAGGACACTCTCTGGGTACGGCCACGGATGGCATGCCATCTGAACTTGCGAGTGTCAGAGTGTCAGGCATTGTATTCCTCAACTTGTATGGCTTGGGGGTAAGGCAGGAAGGGGGAAAAGCACTTGCATGCCTCCTTGGCCCAATCGGCTAGCTGCTAGAGTTAGGAAGGGGTCATGCATTCCTTCCGTGTTCTTTCCATTTACAGGCCAGGAGAGTTCCAAGTCATGAACGCTCGATCCCATGTCACAGACCCACCAACGGATGCGGCTCAAAAGCTCTCTTGTTTTCTGTCAATGTCCCACAAAAGCACAGCACAGCTAATTATGTCCCAAGACAGTGAAGTATATTTCTGTCTGAAATATCCGCAAAGCAAAGGACCCACAGGGACCTAGAGAATTCTGAAATATGGGGATTCTGGGATTTTCCCCACACAAGGCATGTCTTCTTGAAGGCCCATCCTGTCATAAGCCCAAAGGAAACGTCTCAGTTGCTCCCTGTGATTGCCAAGATTCGAGTTTGGAAGCCCCACAATCCACGTTGTGGATTCCCCCAGTTGTGCATCGGTTTGAAAGTGGGCCTGAAAAAGAGCCCACAGCCAAGGAATACATGAGCGGCGAATCTATTTGGTAGTGGACTCGATATATGTGATTGGATGGTGTCCTATTTCATTTGCAATTTAGAAGCAAATCTCAATGTTGTCCTGCTTGCACAACCTTCTTCGCAAAACCTGGTATTTGTTGTAAAGTAAGGTATATCGGATATATCATGTTCTTTGAAGGGGTGGTTCTGCTGCTAGACAATGTTAAGCCTATGTATAGAATCATCTCTCAATTAAACCAAATAAGCCCGGTTGCTCCCTTCGGAAAGCTTGCGAGCAGATGCATTGTCCGTTCTGCCCTAGTACCAAACAAGAGAAAACTGATTCGCAAGCATGGCAAAACAATGCGCCTCTTTATTATCGCCAAGGCAAGCAATTAAACTAGTGGTTTTTGTAATCAAGCGTTCCTGTCTTGCGATACTCTACCCACACACTCTACATATAAAACGCTGCTGGGTTGCTGCATTCTCCGGCTCAGACTGCATTGCAGAGAGAGTCATGGAATACCAGAGCGGATCCAGATTCGACACTACCTCATGAGAGCGCACGGCCTGTTGCCTTGTTAGCATGATACATTGTCCAAATACCCGGGGTATAAGAATTTGCTCAAAGTTTACACGCTGCATCAAACAAAAACCTATACTTACAATATCTTACAATCTATGTGCGACAGCAATGCAACTATCAATTAAAGTTAGTTGAATTACACTCACATACATTGATGTTGAATGATGCTTTTGTACATGTCATACCTGGATCTACCCATGGCGTGCTATGTGTGTATAAAATCTTGAATCATTAGGACGCTTTGAACGGAAAAACAACATTGTTGTGCTAATGTACTTTATAGGTGTTATAGCTTTGGTGGACACGTTGCTGCTTTGTGCCTTGTGTCTGGCTGTCCCCACCCTCCCTGTCTTGAGATCTTCTCCCAACAAACTTCACCAGGGGACCATGACAGGACAGGCGCAACCTGTTAGTAAAGCTCGATCTGTGAGCACAACAAGGCTTGCTGCTCCACTGTTGTCAGCGACATTCATCTTGAATGTGTGGTGGTGTCAGGTTCTTCTATAATGGATCTCATCAGTGTGTCGCTTAGGGATGGCTGGCTGGACAGCCGGTAAATCTGCAACGAACAACACCCCCCTCCCTCCCTGGCATTTTGGGTGGCCTGGCTGTAGCCCAGAGGATCTAAAATTGTTTGCGTGTTCTTTTGTAGCTCCTCTGGTGACGTCAATTCCACTACAGGCAATGGTTGGGATCATGGGATACCATGGTCGAATCGAATCATGTCCAATCTCTTGTGTTCACCACAAAGCAGCCAGACCTGTAAAGCCTAATTGATCATGGTTGGTCTATATTTAGGTTGGAGGCCATCGCAATTAGGTTGGAGGCCATCGCAATTAGCTCGGAGGCCATTGCAATTAGGTTGGAGGCCATCGCAATTAGGTTGGAGGTCATCGCAATTAGGCTGGAGGCCATCACAATCAATTAGGTTGGAGGCCATTGCTATTAGTTTCCCTTTCCTTTAGTCTATATGTGTTCTTTGGTCACGTCGCGCTGTATGGACTGGTCGACTGGTCGAGTCATGTCAGCGGAATATTTGCGTCGAGCGATGATCGGTCGGCAGCTTCACGGGCTAGGCGTTGAAAAAGGAACGCGGCCTTTAACGTGACCATTCTTTGAACAAAATCAAGCACAGATTCATAGAGGATTTCTAAGCCAACTCCCTCGATTGTTTGCTACGGGGGAGGGGAGGGATCCGTTTTGCTAACCAAGATCCAACATTACTAGTAACAGAGGGCATATGAAGACCCTATTCTTTCGGTTTTCAGCAAACTGAATCCTAGGTCCAAGAGGTCCGGCTCTGAGCGAGCTACAATCACTGATCCGGTGGAAGAAACATCTGGCATTCCGGGAAAACCTGAAACTGTGGATTTGGCTGCAAAGGTGCCGCATCAACCACAACCGGAGATTTACTGATCTGGCCAGGAGGAGTTGTCGTGCCGGGAGGAGTTGTGCCCTGGCCAACAGGAGTTGTACCCTGGCCAGTAGAACCAGTCGTGGATTGCCACGTGCTCGATGGAGATGTCGTCGATGTTGACATCAATGGTGATGTTGTGGATGGTGCTATCGTCGATGTTGACACTGTTGATGGTGATGTTGTTGATGGCTCAGTTGAATTTGATGTTGTTGTTGTTGATGATGTCGTTGATGATGAGGTGGTAGTCGTGTCTGGCAGCCAGGCCTGCCAAACCTGGAAAAAACATCCGCTCCCTTCTACACTCAGTCTGCAAAAGCAAATGCAACAAGTAAGTGAGCAAGTCGATGCTGGGGTCTGGTGCCGCCGCCGTCAGGTGTTTCAGGTTCCTGCTGACCGGGGCTCTACCTGCGGGTTCCTATATGCCTGATGTAGTGCAACTGAAAACTCCATATTCTCGTGTCTTTCTTGTCATCCTGAGTGGGCGCTGTATATTCAGACAACATGAAAGTTTATCCAGGATGATGCATGAAGAACAAAGATGCCTTGCACATCTCCCACACGCATGCTGTTTGCTGGGGTCGCCAAACAAGCAGCTTTTCTAACACCCCATATTCTTTCCTTTGGCTCAACTTCCTACTATTGCCGAGCTTGAGTCGTGCACTTTGGTCAAGCGCAAGTCCAAGCTTCTGGAGGTCTTTGAGAGATCTCTGAATAGTTTTTGGTGTTCTTTCTTTTTTTCGATTGTGTTTGCAACTGTTGCATTAGAGATGCGATTTGCCTGTCCATACCATGCCATGTAGGCTGCTTGCTTGAGGCAATTCAGAATGCAAATTGTCTGGCAAAGGGCTCCCTTCCTGCTAAAAGTGTGCAAATTGCCGAGTGGATGTTTGGACTTAGCTTTGGTGTTATATTCATCACCACTGGATTGCTGCGGTGCTTGTCTCCTTGTCAGCTGATTCCCAGCAGACCTGTCAGATAAACTATTTGTTTGGTTATTGGCGACTATTAAAGCGCTCCAGAGAGATTGAGCCCATGTTGCTCTAAGAACGGGATTGAATTCAGTGTTACTTCCTTCCTTCCATTTTGCATAGCGTTACGCATGCCTTCTTTCTGTCCATGCAGTATCCCTCTGGTTCTCAATGAATCTATATTCAACACTTTCATTTCGCTGCTTTGAAACAAACATGTTCTAGTCCATGTCTACGTGTTAAGCGGCCCTTATTTTTGCCGCACCGCTCCTCTGTGTGTGCATTGAGCCATTGGCAAGCCGCATCTCGCCAGTCGTAAGCGTGAAGAAAGTTGAGCAAAAGTTCATCCATCATCTGCATGTCCAGCGTAATGCGCCCAACAAGCTGATGCACTTCAGGTGACAAAAAACTCAAATCCTGGCTGACAATCTTTACAGCAGGAGGACGTGCAGCTTCTGTTGATTTGTCGCCATTCTCCCAGCCAGTGGCATCGTGGCTGGGGAAGCGGATCACTCTGGGGTTCAACAGCAAGAACTCCGTAGAAGGTTTCCACCAATAGAACGTTCCCAAAGTATCTTGTGGCAAACTCCAGTAATTGCTCCAGGTAGATGCTTGGGCGATTGCCATCGGTATGTTCCAAATTGTGGCCTAGCAACCATGTCCGCAATTTGACTGGGGGGTCAGAAACCCAAGCCCCTACCCCTGGCAGAAAAATGAAAAAGTATTCCCGTTGCTACCGAGGAGAGAGGGTAAGCACGCTCACTTTAGTCAAACATGGCTACTATAACAAGGGTTGCAAAAGGTCAGGTGTGTTTCCAGTCAAAAAAGTAAAAAACAGTTAAGCCAAAAAGAACAATAACATAAAATGGGTCTGGGAAGCAATGAACATCCTTGAAAAAAATAAATGACGGAAATGTCTTCATGAAACAGTCCGTGGCGGGCGGGCGTGAGTGGAGTGGAGTGGAGCGAGCGAACGAGCGAGGGAGTGAGTGAGGGAGGGGAGCTACTAGTAGCGTCCTTGCTCCTAGTTGATGTGAGTTGTGCTGTGAGTTGTAGTGCGGGCAGTAGGCGGGATGATGTGGAGGAGGCGGGAGGGAGACGCGGAGGGGACAGAGGAGGCGGAAGAAGGAATGTATGGCAAATGACACGCAGCATAAAAGTAACACACCGAACAAACATGTGGGGAATAAAAGGAGTCTCTCGGGGGAATAGTACCCACATTTGTAGGTCTCCCTTCAAGGGCTCTCAGCAACTTGTATAATGCTAACAGTTCACTCACTGGACACATGCATCAAGAAACAATAATTATGTATCAATGTATTACACTGTATTGTGAGGCTCCACAAAACATAGTGCAACATGTCTGCCAGCAACAGTGGTGCACACTCCGGATGTGTCTACGCATCTGGTCATGCTCTTCTCAGGTCCTTCGGTTTCATGTCATGCCTGTGTCACAGTTGTTGTTCAAACGAAGCTGAGTGGAACGGCAAAGAGTTGTGACGATTTATTGGCAAAGTAAGCTGACGACCGGTCATGGTCCAGCTTGTGGAGATCGTACTCAGGGTCTTCTGAACAGTGTTGGTGCAAAGGAGTACATGCTTAGTCGATCCCCACCCGCAGAGACGATTTGGAAGAAGGAAGGACATATGTAGTGGTAAACTATCCTGACAAATGAGCTGACACATTGTTTGACATATGGGGTTGCATATGTATTGATATATAATGTACTGGCATTTCATCTGGCATTTGTAGTCTCTCGCATTCAGGCATACAATATACTAATATCACATGTGAGCTGACATTTAAAATGATGCTGACATGCTTGCAAACATTTTCTCTTGCAAGCTATCTGAAACTGCATATCTTCTCATACTACCCGACATATTGAGCAGCGGACAAAATTACTTGTGTAGCCAAATACCATTTGACACAATTCTCGCTTTTGGTCCAAAACAAAATACAGTACAACTCACAACCTCAGTTCAGAGGCTTACAGTGCTTTCGGCACAGAAATGGGACAGCACTTGTTTTATGCGCTTGGGTTCTTGTGGCACTGGGCTGTGCAAGGATCACAACACATAAGCATGGGCCTAGGAGTATATTATACTCTGACATATTGCATGGCTTCTGGCATACTGACGTACCACATACCTGACACAATATGTATTCTGAATTTTCCTGCCTATATATTGATATATTATGTGGCACCTTTCCTGGCAGGTACTGTCTGGATCTGTCTGGTAATAGGCACGAGGTCCGATGCCTACAGTTGTTTGGCTAGAATGGTCTTAAAGATATTCCTAAATGTGCAGCCAAAAACGATGGCCTTTTGCATGGTCTCCTCCAGCAACCATCCGATATAGGTGAAATGAGGGAAACACAGCGTCTCATTACCATCCCTGCATCCAGGAGCCAACCAAAAGTAGTCATCTGGACAATAACCAACATAGTCCTCGAGTACGGGGTCATAAATCACTCCACCATAGTCGAAGGTGATGTTTAAGTAGTTTTGGATCATGAAGGTGTCCTGGAAGTCATAGCTCACACTGCACCTTTCCAGCAAAGAAGTGTCCACTGAGTAAATATTGTCCAAAAACCTCCAAGGCTCTGCTTCGACTGAAAGATCCAAATGTGTTTCTAACGAGACCATGGGCGGAATGGAAGCATCCCAAAGGTTCTCCTTCACAAAGATTCCTTCGAAGCGGCGGTAGCCCATGGAGCCCAGGTTTTCGGGCACCATGCCGCCCGGCTGGATGGTGTCCCAACCCTTTGTCCCCCACAGGCCCAAGCTCACATGCCAGTACGTGATGTTGGCAACGCAAGTAGCAGGATTTTGAGGATCAACGCAACCTTGTAGTAGTCGGTGGATATCTCTCACTGAAGTTACGCCTAGGCCAGCACGTTGAGACTTGAAGTATCCAAAGGCAAAACACATCACAAGTGTGCGGCGGTTTGCAAAAAAAACAGAACTGATGTCTTAGTGGCGAGGGTCTATCATTTCTGGTATGAAAGCCCAACTTCTCTTCAATGAGTATGCCAGCCACGGCAGCGCTCATGAACGAGTCATCATATGACATCTGCAGACCTGGCTCCAGCGACCGTCCAAAACGGATCGCTTTGACAGCTGAGACGGAAACGTCCAAAGATATGTTGGCACTGAACAGGTTAGTTGAGCTGCGACAACATGTTGGGTCAACCCGGCAAAGTTGCCCGAAAAGCAATCCTTTCCGACCACGGAACAGGGTTCTCCGGGGGGGGGCTGGGGACAGCTTGGTTCGTGTTACTCGGTGCGCAAACCGAACTTCACGATTCTTTGCCGGCATCGTGACGTTGCATTCGCGGTTAGTTCGATCTTCGCGTTGCGCTTTTGGGCGCTGCGATGCGAAGCTGCAACGAGAGCACGTTGAAGGCCTCGCAGCATTGTGGTTCAGCCAACATCCAGGGTTCGACTCAATGCTACAGGCTGTGAAAATATACAGAGAGGCTGTGCAAGACACTTGTCCGCCAGCTCAATTGTAAAGTGAGCTGTCATGGCTCAATTGGGAGGAGGACTGATGTCGTGGCGCATGGGACTGACTGGTCTTTGGATGGTATTAAAAATGCACTCAAGTTATCGTCTTCGAGTTAGTGAACTCCAAGACGGTAAGTTGAGCGTCCCGAAACCCAAAATACCCTGCAAAAGGCTTTGTTTTCCTGCCCTCTGCATGTTGCAGTCCGGGCACCCCCCCCCGTTTACCAAACATCTATGTTGTCACATGCGGTCACTACGAATAACTGGTTATCAGTTATCACCGACACTCTTGCGACGTCTGGGTTTTATTCATTTGAGGTCACAGTTACACTTTGAAGATTTAGCACGACATTGTGCTTGCATGTGTCAAAGACTGCATGGCAGCTCAGACACAAGTGTTGCTTCCAAGAATCGAACGTTTCTATGCTACGATACGCATCGGTTCAGACTCAGATGGGAGTACTATCACTTCAGGTGTCAATAAATTCCGCCAGCTCACGACCACTCTCCACTGAGGTTTATTGACTTTGAGTGTCCTATTGTTGCAGTGGTGTCTTTGTGCATGCATGCATGGCACAAAGCTGTAAAACATGGGTCAGTATTCAGGGACAGTGATGAAAACATTCTTACAGTGTCTTACCGTATTGGACATTATTCAGCTCTGCGGGAGGTGTTTGTCAAAGTTGATTTGTTATGAGCTGGGGAACTCCTGCTGCCCAAGGTCTGTGGCTTCAGGCAGAAGCCTCGCACCCTGGGCCCCCCCCAACCATGAACAATAGCCCCAAGAACAATCAGAACATGATCTTCGCGGCGATGGCAACCAACGTCATGATCAGCTGAAAAGCAACATCTTCGAAGCCGGAAAGAAGCAAAAACAAAGCAGCAAAACGTTATGGTTCTCGGTTCTCCGAGCAAAAACAAAAGCTTCTGCGAGCAAAGACATCTCTGCGCAATCCCTCAAACACGAAATAAATGACCCCAAATCTCTGTGAAAGCTTGCTTCTCGCTGTTCCTCAAGGCCTTTGCATTGGTCTCCTACCCCCAAGTGCAATCCATGGGACGGAGTGGCCTTCTTGGATATCCTATCCCTTCAAATACATCAAAATACTTTCATTCATGGAAGTTGCTATAATGGGTTCAAGTTATGCATGTTTCACCTCGCTGCCTGTGACCCCTCGCTGCCCGGGTGCGACGCTCAAAAAGTGGCGGACTCTGGGACGAGCCTGGCCTACTTTAAATGATTCTCCATTGGCATTGGTCAGATTCCTCAGCTAGTTGTGCGTCTTTGTGCTGCAAACCATCGAACCACGTGCCGAATGGTTTTGGGGTTTAGGACCTCATCCAATGCTGGACACCCACATTGGTCGACGGGTCCAGAGAGTTCTGTCTGTTTGAGACGCATGAAGTCCAATGTATTGACACAAGACAGCCCATACCACATAGACCCCCAACTAGATACAAGTTCGTAGATGCCCACTCAAAATGTATTGAAAACCGTGCCACATCATGCCTCTATCTATTCGGGGACCACATGGGACTATACGTCCAAGCTTCCTTCGCAGCGCCTCGGGAATCCCATCACTGAGGCATGTCGCCGAGCCAAGAAGCCAAAGGCTCGCGAAGGCCGCGGCACGGCGCAGCGCACCGCGGCACAGCGCCGGGGCGATCATCACGGAGGTCGCGCGCAGAGGTCGCGAAGCACAGAGGGCGGATGCGAAGAGGGCAGAGGCGTTTGTTCTGGAAATCTGCTGAGCACTGCTGGGCTGAAATGGGTTGGACGCACAGGCGCGGCTTGTCTGATATGTCGCGGTGCCAATGTGCCAAGTTTGGCCGACAACGCATCAGCTGTTCTGTCAGTTTGTGAAATGGAGTAAAGTCATGTACAAGTGATGCAGGCTTCACAATAGAAAGTTTCAGGATTGCCTCTTGAATGTTGAAGCTAGAAACGCTGCATGAGCACACCACGTTCATCAAAAAGCATGAGACTTGAGAACCAGCTCATCGCAGCTCTCAGCTGGTGAGCTGCGTAGCTTGCAGGTCATGACGAAGCCATTCTAAAGGGATAAGCTGATCAAAGGAAGTTTAGTGTGCAAAACTTCCGTGTTACGGACATTCAACAGCAGTTCAACCACCACTCATCATACATCACTCATCATACACCACTCATCATACACCACTCATCATACACCACTCATCATACA